GCACAGCTTAAAACCCTGCTGGGTCCTGGTCTACATCAGGGCTGCAAGAGAAGGAAAGGTCTACTCTAGAGAAGGTCACAGTCTCCGATAACAGGACTCCCTGTAGATGGGCCAGGAGCCTTCTCTTCCTGGACCCCACTCCAGAGTCTTCCATCAGCTGAACCCATCCCCTCCAGACACAACACCTCAACTTGTGCAACCCAACCATCTCCTAGCTCTCCCCTCTGGTCAGGCTGGGTTTTGTTTTCCTTCTCTTCAGGAAATCTTCACTCCTCCCGGCTTCTCTCTGTCTCTGCCCCCATAGTCCTCCTCCCCAGGCTTCAGAAGTGGGCCACTTTCTGCTCAGTGCCTGGCTGTGCAGACTGGAAATCGGTCTGAGGAGATCTGTGCTGGCCAGCACCCACTCCTGGCCATGCAAAGTGTCACAGCATCTCTGTCTCAAGTCTTCCCACCATGTTCCAGGTGGTTTCTTCTTATGACACCTGCCAGGTCATTTCTAGTCCCTTCCAGACCAATAGGGTCTGACACACCAGGGCTATGTCTAGACTGCAGGCTTCTTTCGAAAGAGGCTCTTTCGAAAGCATCTTTCGAAAGAGCCTCTTTCGAACGATCGCATCTAGACTGCAGGCGGATCTTTCGAAAGAGAAATCCGCTTTTTCGAAAGAGAGCACCCAGCGAGTCTGGATGCTCTCTTTCGAAGACGGCCTCTTTACATTGAAGAACGCCTTCTTTCGAAAGAGGAACTTTCGAAAGAAGGTGTTCTTCCTCGTGAAACGAGGTTTACCGCCATCGAAAGAAAAGCCGCGTTCTTTCGAAGTAATTTCGAAAGAATGCGGCTTGAGTCTGGACGCAGGGGAAGTTTTTTCGGGAAAAGGCTACTTTTCCCGAAAAAACCCCTGAGTCTGGACACGGCCCAGGAGACCAATGATCCTATCACAAATTTGAGAATCTCAAGCCCTTTGGTCGCAGGAATTTTATTATCCCCTTTGCTAGGGATGGTAGAGGAACCCAGATCCGTCCACTCTTCTGTGTTCCATCCCAGGGACCCTGCATTTAGCAGCTGGGACAGTCCCTCACAATCCCTTTCTGCTTCCTACCTTAACTCCTGCAGGCCTCTTCCAGGCTCACATTCTCTGATTCACCACATCTGGAAGTCCAGCTATCTGCTGCTGAGGGCAGCTCCTCTCAGTGGTCGTCCCAATTCCTCTCCTCCGTAGCCTTTGGATTTCCCAGCTGTTCCTGGCCCAGCAGTTAGCTACAGCTGAGGAGGTAGCTTACCTTCCTGTTAACTCCTTAGTAGACATGGTAGAAGGGTCTACACACTATGGCTGCGTCTAGATTGGTATGATTTTCCGGAAATGCTTTTAACGGAAAACTTTTCAGTTAAAAGCATTTTCAGAACAGAGCATCTAGATTGGCACGGACGCTTTTCCACAAAAGCACTTTTTGTGAAAAAGCATCCGTGCCAATCTAGATGCGCTTTTCCGCAAAAAAGCCCCGATCGCCATTTTCGCGATCGGGGCTTTTTTGCGGAAAACAAAACTGAGCTGTCTACACTGGCCCTTTTATGCAAAAGCTTTGTGCAAAAGGGACTATTGCCTGAACGGGAGCAGAATAGTATTTCCGCAAGAAGATCTTATTTCTTACAGTAGGAAGTCAGTGCTTTTGCGGAAATTCAAGCGCCCAGTGTAGACTGCTGGCAAGATTTTCCGGAAAAGCAGCTGATTTTCCGGAAAAACTGGCCAATATAGACCCAGCCAATGAGAGCATCCTTTCATGCCTATGGTGATCAGTTTGAATCCAGCATTTCTGGAAGCTATTCCCCTCAGACAAATGTTCAACAGGCAACATGAAAAGAATTGGTGGGCAGAAGCTGACATGTAGTCTCAGTAGACAGGCACTGAGGGTGTGTCTAGACTACATGCCTCCGTCGACGGAGGCATGTAGATTAGACAGATCGGCAGAGGGAAATGAAGCCACGATTAAAATAATTGCAGCTTCATTTAAATTTAAATGGCTGCCCCGCTCTGCTGATCAGCTGTTTGTCGGCAGATCGGGGCAGTCTGGATGCGCCGCGTTGACAAAGAAGCCTTTCTTGATCGGCACAGGTATGCCTCGTGAAACCAGGTTTACCTGTGCCGATCAAGAAAGGCTTCTTTGTCGATGCGGCGCGTCCAGACTGCCCCGATCTGCCGACAAACAGCTGATCGGCAGAGCGGGGCAGCCATTTAAATTTAAATGAAGCCGCGATTATTTTAATTGCGGCTTCATTTCCCTCTGCCGATCTGTCTAATCTACATGCCTCCGTCGACGGAGGCATGTAGTTTAGACGTACCCTGAGTGAAGGGACATGTTGAATACATTATTTTCTCACTACCAGAGGGGGTCCCTGAGGAGGAGTACAACAGAGGCAGAGTGGCATTGGGGAGGGGGGAAAATGTAACTCACTGGTCACTGTCGGTGTGTCTACACAGCACTTTAAACTAGAAATAAGATACGCAATTTCCACTATGCAAATTGCGTATCTTATTTCGAAATTTGGCACATCTACACAGCACCAAATTTTGAAACAACACACTGTTTCGAGTCATCCCTTAACCCTCATGGAATGAGGGCTACAGAGATACAGGAATAGCATGCCCGTTATTTCAAAAAATATTTTGAAATAACAGGTGTGTTGAAAAGATGCGCGGTAGCTATTTCGGGATTTATCTGGTATCCTGAAATAGCCCCGCTGCCTAGACGTACCCAGTGTGCTCTGAATAATCTTCTGCACTCAGTCCATAGAGCTTGTGGCCCTGTCCCGGCTTGCTGATCCAAAACCATCTCCAGGGATTAAGCTCTCCACACTGATACTTTTGTCATGGTTCAATCCCTAATATGTCAGGCAAAATGGCCACACAGGTTGGGGCTCGTCACTTATTCCTTCCATCCTGGAGGACTCTACTTTAATCTCTGTTGTTGGCCCAAATGGCAACCAGGCACCAAGCACATGCTACACCGGTTCTACAGATGAATGTAAATAACATTGTGTGCTTGCAGAGCACCCAACACCCAAGGATCCTGTAGTTCCATAATACAGTCTCCCGCACCCTTCTGTGGGAGGCACATCTTAACACTCCATTTTACAGTGTAGTAAAGAGATACCCAGGGAATTCCACCAATCTATTATAGCAAGTCACTCAGGATGAGAAACCAGAAAAGAGGTCTGAGTAGAGCCATGAGAACAACGACAGGCCTGGAAATCATGTCTCATTGTGATAGCCACAAGGAACTCGATCTATTTAATTTCCCAAAGATCAAGTCCCAAAGGTAAGGGTGACTTGATCACAGTCTGTTTGTGGCTACATGGGGAACTAATATTTGATGACTGTATAAAAAAATAGCAAGATCCAAAGGCCAGAAGTGAGACAAATTCAGATGGGGAAAAAGCATGTTTTTAACAGTGAGCATAATTAATCATTGGAACAATTTGACAAGGAATGTGGTGGATTTTTCATCACTGGGAACTTTTACATCAGACTGATTTTTTTTCCTAAAAGATGTTCTCTACTTCAAACAGGAATTATTTCACAGAAGTCCTATGACCGGTGTTATAAGGATGTCAGATTAGATTAACATGATGGTGTCTTTTGAATGAGACCAGTCTCTCCAATCATTATCATTACTAGCAATGGTAGTGGCCAATGATGTGCCAGGCATTTCCAAACATTCAAGAAGGGAAGGCTGCTGACCTGAAGGACTCATGGGGTTTGACCCCCAATTCAACAGAGCACCTTCTGAGTTTTAAACTGGTACTTAGATCCATCCCTATGCAGGAAAGTACTTAAGCCAGGGCTGGCCAAAATACGGCCCAGGAGCCAGATCCAGCCCGCCAAGCCACGGGATCCGTCCCGTGGACCACTCTGCCGGGATCCTCGGGCACACAGCTGCCGTGGTTTAAAGCACAGTCTGTGCAGATCTCTGATCTGCAGGCAGGGGGAAACTTCGTTCACAGCCCAATCATAGAATCTATGATTCTATTATTCAATCCTTAGCTCCTATTGGCTGGAAACAATCAGGAATGGATCCCAGCCAACCTCTCAGCTCCTATTGGCTAGAAACAATCAGCTAATAGGAGATGAGAGATTGGCCTGAGGGATGGGGGCAACACAAGCCTCTTCCCCCCTGCGCCCCTTGCCATAGCTGAAAGCCACATGGTAGGAACAGCCTGTAGTTTCATGCGATCTGGGGCTGCAGCAGGCAGGGAGCCCAGCCTGTCTTAGGGGTGCTGCAGGGCTGCTGGCCAAGAGACACTTAGGTAAGTCAGAGCCTCCCAGCCAGAGCCTGCCTCTGGCACCCCTGCCTCTTCTGCACGCCAACTCCCTTCCCCAGGTCACCATCCAAACCCTCTGCACTCTTCCTTCCGGCCCCTGTACCCCCTCTTACAGCCACCCCAAAGCCAGAATCATCTCCTCTACCCAAATACCCTCCCAGACCCTGCACCCCATTCCCTTGCTCCAGGTAACCATCCAAACCCTCTGCAGCCTGCACCCCCTTTGTCCCTTCTTCCAAGTCACAGTTCCCTCTCAGACTTTGCACCTTCACCTAGAGCCCCTCCCATAGGCCAGAATCCTCTCCTGCACCCATACACTTTCCCTGACCCTATACCGCAATCCCCTGACCCAGGCTGCAACCCCCTCCTTCACCCAAACTCCCTCTCAGACCTCACATTGTCTCTTGCACCCTTACCCATGCACCTTTCTGCACCCAACCTCCATCTAGATCCCATATCTCCACCACAGAAAAGTGTGGTACTTGGCCACTTTCCAAAATCTTGGGAGTGCTCCCCCCCCAAAAAAAATTATTGCCCACCCCTGACTTATGCATGTGTTTAAGTTACTATGAAGGGTACATATGCACTTGTTTTTCTGACTAGTGATGGATTTAATTACTTTGTTAAATCTGGGACGACTAGTGATGGATTTAATTACTTTGTTAAATCTGGGACTAAGGATAGATAGATAGATAGATAGATAGATATTAAAATCACTGCTTTAACCACTAAGAACATATCTTCACTGTTAATTGTCCGCAAATGTCCAGTGCTAACATGTCTTTTTTCTGATCACACCAGCGAATCAGGTTCCAACAGATTCCCTCACAGAAAATATCTCATGTTGATGTGCCACAGCTCATACTTCTTTCTTTTACATATCTTCTCAAGACACCACAGCTGTCCCCTCCCTCTCTCTGTTCCCATTCTGACACATTGGTTCCCCTCCTCCTATCTCTTGGCCACGGGTGCAAGCAAAGAGCTGCTGACGAGTGTCCTTCCAGTCCCAGAACTCGTTGGCACGATGCTGCTGAAGTTCCAGAGAACCCCACAAAGCTGTTCTTCCATTTAACAGATGTCTGCTGTCATGTCTTCTAGCCTTTGATGAGTTCTCTCCACTCTTCCTTTTGTGTTCCACAGTGCTCATCTTCCTCACTGACACAGCTTTCATCGTCTGTTGGTGCAACTCCTTTCTCTCCCTCACTGTGTTTCCTGGGACTCCATTTGCCTCCATATCTGCAAGAGAAAATCCCCTTTACTCTTTACCTTACCAGTTGTTCCCTGTCTTTCTCTTCACTTCCTCTGTTGCACTTGCTAACTGGAATGTGGGGGTCAGTGCCCCTGGGAAATGACTGGTAAAGGCAACATTGCACTTAACCAGTGGACTCTATAACAGTCTTTAAACATAGTGGCTGTGTCTACACTGGGCCACTTATTCCGGAAAAGCAGCCACTTTTCCGGAATAAGCTGCGAGCTGTCTACACTGGCCCCTTGAATTTCCGGAAAAGAAGTGACGATTTACTGTAAGAAATCAGCTGCTTTTCCGGAAAAACTATGCTGCTCCCGCTCGGGCAAAAGTCCTTTTTCCGGAAAACTGTTCCGGAAAAGAGCCAGTGTAGACAGCACAGTAGTCTTTTCCGCAAAAAAAGCCCCAATCGCGAAAATGACGATCGGGGCTTTTTTTCCGGAAAAGTGCGTCTACATTGGCCACGGACGCTTTTCCAGAAAAAGGGCTTTTCCAGAAAAGCATCTTGCCAATGTAGATGCTCTTTTTCTGGAAATACTTATAATGGAAAACTGTTCCGTTTTAAGCATTTCCGGAAAAAGGTGCCAGTGTAGACACAGCCTATATACAGAATATCTGTCATTTATTCACCCTTTATAAATAATTCCTAAAATATATTGATATAAAATATAGGGCTATTAAATGTCTCTACCCTTAACACAAATTATTCGAATGACAAGTTGTTTTTCCTCACATTTTCAATTCAGGTGCCATTTTGCAAAAACATGATCAAAGGATAATCCTTGATTAAGAGAAGTTTCAATACATGGGATAACGATTGGTATGGAGTCAACAGGCTAATAGGATGCTTAGAACTACCCATACCACATCCGATTCATGTCTGAAATGTGCAGCTATTAATCATTTATTAACCTTCTGTAAGCCATTTCTCAATGGAAGCTTGCTGTAAAGCAGTGGTCACCAACCTTTTGGGGCTACCGGGTGCCTGGGGCCGCTCACGTGCCGTGTGCCTGTGGTGGCGCCGCATATGGGCGATGCGGCTGGGGGCGGGGCCGCTCATGCGCCCAGGAGCGGGGCCACGTATGCACCATGTGGCCAGGGGTGGGAGCTGCGCGTGCGCCGTGTGCCCGGGGCCCAAGAATGACTTGGGCCGGCCCCGGTCACTCGGCAGGCGCATACAAATGCCCCGGCAGGCACCATGGCACCCGTGGGCACTGTGTTGGGGACCACTGCTGTAAAGTCTGATGCTTTTCCTCCTGCAGAGTTTGGAACTCAGACAAGGCCACATGACATGAAAAAGAAAATGATCAAAAAACTAAAGTAGGGTTGACTGAAACTGCAAGGATGTGTCCAGACTACAGAGTTTTTTTGAAAAAAAAGTAGCCTTTTTTTCGAAAAAACTTCACCTGCATCTAGACTGCAGCCATGTTCTTTCAAAAGGAAATCGAAAGAAGGCGGTAGTTTTTTCGATTGCGGTCAAACCAATTTTATGAGGACTAACGCCTTTTTTCAAAAGTACTCTTTTAAAAAAAGGCGCTATTGAATGCAAACTGTGCTTTTTCGAAAGAGAGCATCTAGACTCTCTTTCGAAAAAGTGGCTCGCTTTTTCAAAAAATCTGCTTGTAGTCTAGACACTCTCTTTCGAAAGAGGCTTGTAGTCTAGACAAAGCCCAAATGTGGATGCAGTAACATAGATTTTCAGTCACCAAAGTGGAACGCACAAAAGGAAAGTACATTCTTAATAACCAGAGGGGTTCTGAGGTGCCACCAAGGTAAAGCAACTACATTTCTGGCCACAAATGACTTTTGAGCTGACATTGGCTTCTACCACGCCAGTCCTGCAATGTGGTGCATGCAGACAGACTGCTTCTTACTCTTAGTTTGGTGCTTCATACAGTTGCTCAAATATTTGCAAAATAGAGAAATAAAACCCCATATATATGCTGCTGATGCAGATGTAGCTCATGTCTACATCCCCGCTCAGTCAGCACCTTTGTGATCAATGCAGCGGTGTCAGCTGAGCAGGTGTGGTGAAGCCACGCCCAGTCAATGCAGCGCATGCCCCCATCAGCATCTGTACTCGACTTCCCTGGGAGGCGGAAACCGTGTCACTGGAAGAGCATCTCCCGTCGACACAGTGAGGCGTCAACACTGCTGCAAGTGGTGATCCTGTCACGTCACGTCAACGCGAGTTATGTAACGCACATAAATGAACTAGTGTAATTTAGCTCAACCAACAGCATCTTAGTTCACCCGCCCCAAGTGACAAATCCCGGCCGCTACTTCCCTTAGCACCGCAGAGCTACCACAGCTACGGATTCAGTCCCACCTGATGTGCCACCCACAGAAAGCTGCATCTGCAGAGTCTTTCTAAGAGGGGATCATTCAAGCTGCAGGAAGAGCCCAGCGTGCTTTCTGCACCCCAAGCGACAAGCAGTCTTGCAGTCCTTACTCGGGTAACGCTCCCTCTCACGTCAATAGCAACTTTGCTGGGCAAGTGCAGCAAGAGCGGACCCTGCGTTTGCAGGGCTGGTGGGCAGAAAAAAAAACATGGTTTGTGTTACAAACTGAGACAAGAGGATCCTGCTGCCTTAGGGTGAGCCAGTCGGGCCCGGGGAGAGGGCACTGGGCTGGGAAGTGAGAAGAAGCTGTTTCTAGTACAAGCTTGGCCACTGATTGTGGGCAAATCATTTGTGTGACCTTGGACAAAACACTCCATCTCCCTGTGCATCTGTTTCCTCTCTCCCCTTTGGTTTATATAGGTTGCAATATGCATGAGCCAGAATCTTTCCCTCTGTGTTTATACAGTGCCTAGCATAATGGAGCCCGTCTTTGTGGGTGCTTTTAGGTCTATCTGTAATATTCTGCCGCATTGTCCTCAGCATGCTTATAACCCTTGCAACTGCACATTTAGGCAATGATTGCAATCAAATCCCAGGTTTCAGGACTTCAGCCAGGTACCTGGAAGGATCAGGAAGGACTTTTAACCCTGGTGTATGATTGCAAGGTGTATTCAGAAAGGGAAAGGGAGTTAGCCTTCCTCTGAAGCATCAGGGATTGGCCACAACTGCAGATAGGACATTGAGCAGGTTGCACAGTGCTTAGAGCAGGTACAAAATATCCTTTTAGATGCCTGGCTAGTGGGTCTTCTTGCACATATGCACAGTTTCTAAATCCCCCCCCCCCCCCATACACACACAGGTTCAATTGGCAGGGACTAGTAGTGATGCATGGGGATCTCGTCCCCCCCCCCCAGATCTTCAGGTCACCTGCTGGTTGCACTCACCGTGTGTCCGTGCAGCATGGGGAGGGAGGAAGCAGCCAGCTAGCTATAGGCTGAGCTCCCAACCCCCACTCCTCAGGCTACTGCTGTAGCTGTTTCTCATTCCCTGAAGCTGGAATCCAAGTGCTTCCCGCCATCCCACCTGCTGAGGTGAGTCGAGGACGCATCTTCAAGTCTAGGAAGAGGACCTGTGACACGGTGTTCAGTGCTAGGCAGCTCCAATGGAGACCCATTCACCCTGAGAGCCCTGGGGGTGAGTGAAAGAAGCAGGCTAGGGGAAAGGCGGAGCATGGGAAACGGATGGTGGACCTGGCTGCTACTCCTTGAATGTACTCTCAACACGGGTGCGTTGAAGAAGCACCAATTTCCAATGCACCTATCAAGAAGAAAGTGATTGGGCGGGAGTGGGGGGAGGGGGTCAGATGTCCCTTCCAGCAACAAGTGACTGATAATTCTCCATCATCTTTTGAAACAGTCTCATGCAGCCTGGCGCCACCCACCCTGACGGCAGATGGGGGCGTGGGCATCCCAACTGTGCTGCCCCTTTTGTTGGTCATGTTTTGAACGTTTGCTAAAGGATTGGGGATAGTTCAGGCAGGGAGAGATGCCTACGTTGCATGGGCCTCAAGCTTGTGGCATCTCAGACTCTCCTGGGCTTTGCCTGGGCCACGCAGTGGTTTCGGTTCCTGAGGACTGAAATGCTTTTTCTAACCAAAGCCTGGAGGAGTATCTGGGTGAAATGTAATAGCCTGCAATATACAGGAGGTCGCAGTCTGATGCACTCTAACAAGCATGATATACCCTTAGCAAAACAACCCATCTGCAGCACATGCCCCTTGGATGCTAATGTACGTCCCATCCATATTTGGAAGCAGTGCTCTGTTAGAATGACATTGGTGTCATTACCTGGCACAGATCCCTAATGAAGATATGCTACACTGATACAAAGTGAATTAAGACACAGTATTTTAGAGGGTAAACTTGAATATTTTATTCTTGGCTCAGCCATAGACTTTCTGCCTGACCTTGGGCAAGTCACTTAATCTACCCTATCAGTAAGATGGGGATAATGATACTTCCTTATCTCCCAGAGGTGTAGTGAGGATGAAATCTATTTACAGTGACAGGAGCCATATAAATACACAAAGGCTACATCTACACTACAAGGTTTTTGAGCAAAAACAGCTGGTTCTGCACAAAAACCCGTGGAGCATCCACACCTCAAATGCACTTCTACGCAAGGAAATCAAGAATAAAACGGCAGAACAGAGGGCTTTTTCCACCATAAGTAAACCTCCTTTTACGAGGCATAACTCCCTTTTGCACAAGAGCTCTTGAGCAAAAAGGCAAGTGTGAATGCTCCAGAGGGGTTTCTTGCGCAAGAAACCCCTATAGGAAAAAGCACAGGTGCTGTGATGGCCATTCTGGGAATGGCCATCAGAGCTTTCTTGCACAAGAGCGTCCATGCAGTGTGGACACTCTCTTGCACAAAAGCAGATCGCTTTTGCAGTGTGCTTTGAGGAGTGGACGTGCTCTTGCACAAGAAGCTTTTGTGCAAAAACTCTTGCACAAAAGGCTTCTTGCACAAGAAGCATGTAGTGTAGATCTAGCCAAATAGACAAAAGCTTCAGGGGGTAGCTGAGTTAGTCTGTACAGGATAAACTTAAAAAACAACAAATGGTCTGGTAGCTCTTTATAGACTAACAA